CACAAAATTACGTGTGGTATTTAATGGCTCGAGTGCATCTACATCCGGCCGCTCACTTAATGATCTCATGCACACGGGAGCCAATTTGCATTTAGACATCACAAATGTTTTGCTCTGGATTCGACAATTTCGGCATTTAGTTGCCACTGACATCACCAAAATGTATAGGCAAATCAACGTACATAAAGATGACTGGAATTTACAACGGGTTTTCTGGATAGAGGAACAGCTCAATAAAGTGCCATATTTCTAACAACGGTCACTTATGGTACCAAGTCTGCCCCGTTCTTAGCAGTACGAACACTGCTGCAATTGGTGAAGAATGAAGGCCACAATTTTCCCCTTGCAGTGCCGTTAATTATTAAAAGTCAATATGTCGATGACACATTTGGAGGCGCCGACACCGTTCAGCAGGTAATAGAAATTTCCTTGCAGTTAAAGAACTTGTGCATGGCGGGCGGTTTTCCTTTAGCAAAGTGGCACGTGACTCATCAAGATGTGCTCACTGTGGTTCAAGCAGAAAAAGACCAGGGCTCACAAATTGCATTTGACGAACCATGATTGCGTAACCAAAATACTCGGATTAAGATGGATTCCTCAAGAAGATTCATTCACATTCTCAACAAAGATTTCGTCACACACCAATCATCTCACCAAACGCCTTGTTTTGTCTGAAGTGGCTCAGATATTCGATCCACTAGGCTTTGCATCACCAGTAGTGATCAAGGCGAAGATGCTCTTGCAGGAGCTTTGGCTTCATAAGCTCCAATGGGATGAACCACTGCCATCCCAGATCTCATCACGGTGGCTCATCATCAGAAAAGAACTCACAAGCTTGATCAAGCTCTCAATACTTCGGTGGTACAACACATGGAGTACCTCGTCAGTAGAATTTCACGGCTTTTCTGATGCTTCTCAACTGGCAATGGCTGCAGTCGTATTTATCACCGTTCACGGCTCTAATGGCGCCACGATTTCATTGGTGTACTCCAAAACTAAGGTCGCACCCCTCAAACGGCTCAACATCCCGAGACTTGAACTCACCGCAGCACTGCTGCTCTCAAGACTCATGCAATACGTTCAAGCCACCTTGAAGTTGAACGTTACAGCAACTCATCTGTGGGCGGACTCTGTTGTGACACTCACGTGGATCAAATCTCATCATCGCGCTGGAAGGATTTTGTGAGAAACCGAGTTGCTCAGATCCAGGATCTCACTGCAGACGCACACTGGAGATACGTACCTGGCACTTCCAACCCAGCCGACTGCGCATCACGAGGTCTAACTACTGCTCAACTCCAAAGCCACTCATTATGGTGGATGGGACCACCGTGGATACTCACACCTGAAGCATGGCCGTCACAACCCGCGCTTTCGGACGAGTTGAGCGCTCATGAAGCTCGTCCTGGCATTGCTCTATATGCGACTCAGTCGGACTATTATTGGGACCTCATATACAGGTACTCAACCCTCAATAAATTATTGAGAATAACAGCTCTCTGTTTTATCTCTCTCTTGAGAAAGTACCGAGACAAGTCGCTGGACTTGCACTCAGTTTTGGAGAAGGCCAGACTTTTCTGGATCAAGGCTACTCAAGCGGCATACTTCACGCACGAGGTCAAGATGCTCACGACCAATTCGAGATTGCCAACTGCTCATGCATTCAGTCGATTGACTGCGTACATAGACGCTCACGGAATCATCCGAGTTGGCGGCCGCCTCAATCTATCATCATTAGATCAAGACAACAAACATCAAGTAATTTTACCTCGCCACTCACGGTTCTCAACCTTAATCATCGCTCACGCCCATCTGCGCACCCTGCATGGAGGAACTCAGCTGACGTTGGCTCATGTCAGGCAACGATACTGGATCATTGGCGGACGGGCTCCAGTGAAGTCCACATCTTACGGTGTGTCGTGTGTGCTCGGCAGAGGGGGACCGTGCTCATCAACTGATGGGCCAACTACCTCTTTCTCGGGTTACGCCGTCACGTCCGTTTGCTCATACCGGAGTCGACTATGCCGGACCGCTCACCATCAAGACATGGAAGGGACGAGGTGCGAAAACGTACAAGGAATGGATCTGTGTGTTCACCTGCTTCGCCACCTCCGCAATTCACCTCGAAGTGGTGAGTGACTACTCATCGGAAGGATTTATAGCAGCCTTCCGAAGATTCTCATCGAGAAGGGAAATTGCTCAAACCTTGTACTCGGATTGCGGGACAACTTTCATTGGAGCAGACGCAGCGCTCAAGAAAATGTTCATCCAAGGCTCTCAAGAACATCAACGGATTGCTCAAGTTTTGCAACTTGATCGCACCAGATGGGAGTTCACCCAACAGGCGCTCCACACATGAAGGGCAAGTGGGAAGCGGTGGTAAAATCCGTAAAGTTTCGTTTGAGACGGACTGTCGGGGAGACTCTACTCACGATAAAAAAACTCACAACGTTGCTCACGCAAATCGAAGCCATTCTCAACTCACGGCCTTTGAAACCGTTGAGCGACGACCCTGAAGACGTCTCAGCGCTCACACCAGGTCATTTTCTCATTGGAGGTCCAATAACTACCATACTCGAGCCATCTCTGATTGACCTGGCAACCTCACGATTATCTCGGTGACAGTTCATCCAGTAGCGTGTTCAACACGCTCACTGACGAACGCTCTTCATCGTGCAAGTGGCCACTCGCCAGAGTAACGGCATTGCATCCCGGCAAGGATGGACTCACTAGAGTGGTCACCCTTAAGACGGCCACCACGACACTCATTCGGTCAATTGGCAAGTTTGCCGTGCTACCCGTCTCATCGGAATAAGGATCAATGAGTAAGGGATCATCAACAAAGTTGCTGATGGCTGGCGGAATGTTCGAGATTCCGTTATTACGATGCGCCCTCCCTTCAGATGGCAGCATCGATCGGGTACCGGCATCGTGGATCCATGCGGCAAATAGCGCAAGCTCATCGCCAGCTTTCTTCCGCGCATCTCGTTCGTTGATATGGCCGCTGTGTGACCGGACGTACGTGCGTGCTCGATGCATTTCAGCGTTCTGTGCATACGCTTCAAGTGCTTATCGAATTGAAATAACTTGCTGAGAGACACTTTTAAAGTGTGAAACGGACTGCTTAGTAATCTCAGGTGCATCAACACGACGGATCAAGATCTCATGTGCGCGAGTGCCGACCGCCGCGTGTTTCAACGGCTCAAGGGCTGCTCACTTACCGAGGAGGGTGATTAATATAATTGCCTCTCAAGTGCACGGACGATTATACAAAGACTTCTCATTTTAAGTGAACCGCGAAAGACTGCTCATCATTTTCAGGTCAGACTGTACATATTTATATTCTCATTAAAGACGACTCAGACTGTGCTCTGAGTTACATTTTTTAATCAAAGGATATTCAATTAACACCTTCCACGCGCGTCTTTCTCATCCCGCTTCCATCGCCGGGATTAGTCAGCGATTTCGTAAACAGTAATTTTTTTATTTCCGGTGCAGATCTGTGAATAATTTTCTACCAAAGGCGTCGGTGTCCGCAGCCACATCTTCACCAACTTTGTTGCCAACAGATGAAGAGCTGTCGCTTCCGCCGTTATTGGCATTTTCAGGCAGCATAGAAACAATATTGAGCGAGCAGGCTGTGGATGATGTTAGTGCTCTATTTAGAGTGATGCTACCTGCTCTCCTCTCTCGTCACCTTCACCTGGATGTAGCTCATCATCAGCTGCTGCAAGTTTGCCCTATTTAGGACCTACAGGTCGGTGCAAGAAGTCAAAGGTGGACGAAACGGCTGAAATGTTCAAAGAGACTCTCGTCAATCTGAACAAATCCATGACTACACCTAGTACTGCTGCTCCATCACTACCACCTTTAATTGATATTAATGATCCAGACATCTTGATCGGCAAAAGTGTTGAATTTTGCCTCAAAAGTTTAACGAATATGGGTTTGAAACTGAAGTACAGGAGGAAATTTAGGTCGATCATTTAAGATTGTAAAGAGGAGGCTGAAGATTTGAAAGTACCGGATTAATTATGTGTTAACATATTACTTGTTCTATTTAAATATTGTGTATTGTTAGAGATTTTACAAAATGAATTTTATTTGAAAATAAAAACGTTTTCTTCGTGTTTCAATAAAAACATTTTATGTTTCGTATTTTTATTTATTTTATTTCAAAATTTATGGTAGTAAGCGTAGATTGCATGACATTATCGTTCTATGTATGTCGAATTAATTAAGGTATCCGTGGTATTGAAAGCGAATAATTGTGAGTCCATTCAGTAATCATAATAGCGAACCCAATACTAACAAAACTAAAAGGAGAATTGAAAAATGGAATGGAGAATTTTTTGTTCCCTCGTACCTTTTTTCGGAATCTTTTCGAATTTTTCTCCAATTTGAGATATCCGATGTAGATCCGAATCTTGTACGTTATATAATAATTGTCAATTTTATCATCGAAAAAATTGCGCAGTGATTTCCTCGTTATCATCGATTACTGCAATTATTCCTGCAAAATTGCGTCCCTTGCGTCTCTTAATTCTAGTAACACAGACTTGAATCTAAGAAATGCAAATAAAACTTTAAACGGTTGATTAAAAAAAGACCCGATCTCCTTTTGATAAGTTTAGCCATGTTAATTTTTTCATTATTTAATGATATCATCGTTTTATTCGGAACTTTCTGAGAAAAAGAAAACATTCAAAAATATTTTGATAGAAGTTATAAAATATATAGCCAAATTTGTAAAACCCGAACCTTCAAAGAAGTACTCTATTTTTAAATCTGTCCTGCTAGGTTTAATTAAATTTTTATGTCATCTCTACATCGAGTTGTTTTCGTATAATTGCATGTATAATGATACAGTTGCATCGTTCCAAGTACAGTAATATACACTTGCGGCGAACGCAACTGAACAACTCTTGACCAATAAAAACAAGATACAACATGACGCAAAATAATAATAAATTATCTAGACAAATTATCGGAATCTACAGCTACTGAAGGGGGATAATTCCTTGCCGGATCCTCACAATATTGTCTTGATGGCGCATAGCCCCAGGCCTATTTACAAACTCTTTTAGTGTATCTTTCTGTTGTAAAACTCCAAGAGCAGCATTTCTTGCTCCCATCCGTGGACCATCAATGATGGCTCCATTCTCCCCAGCAACAATGTCATGCCATTCTCCCTCTACCAGTTCGCCAGTTAGCAATTCCTGGTCTACAAAAGAAGGGAAGCAATATTGTAGGTTGAGTTTCCTGTCGCCTGTCTTGCGGATGAAATTGTGGAGGCAAACAGCACATTCAATAATGCTTTTCACATTCTCTTCTGTAGCAATAATGGAGTGACGGAAAATCCCCCAACGAGCCGCTAAAATGCCAAAAGCATTTTCAATTACTCTCCTTGCTCTGCTCAACTTGAAGTTATACACAGACTTGTCATGGGGTATGTTGCGCTCGCCATAGGGTTTCATCAGGAAAGGTTTCAAAGGGAAAGCTGCATTTCCTACAAGGACGTAGGGCATGTCAACATCAGTTCCTGGTAGATGACTTGAATTCGGCAAGTCAAGGGATCCATCATTCAATCGCCAACCCATTTCAGACGATTGAAAAACTCCGCCATCACTTTGTGAGCCTTCTGCTCCTACGTCCAGCATGATAAAATTGTAGTGTGCATCACAAACTGCCAATAGAACCATGCTAAATGTCTTCTTGTAATTAAAATAAACACTTTGAGAAGCTTGTGGGGCCTGTACTTGAACGTGCTTTCCATCGATGGCCCCCACACAATGAGGAAACTGCCATTCTTCCCAAAATCCAGCACTCACCTCATGCCACTCCGCTTCATTTGCTGGAGGTTTTACACAAATACACTCTTTAATACAAGTGCTCGAATGGTTTCGGCCCAGAATCTGAGAGACAGTGCTCTGGCCACATCGATAGGAAAAGCTCAGAGTATACTGACTGTCTTCTGCTGCCAAGAATCTGCAAAGCAAATTTACAAATTGAATCGACTCCTGAGAAATTGATAAGATAAGCGAACATTGATGATCTTACCTCAATGTCACAGCAAGCCTCTGAGTGGGTGAAAAAGCAGTGTACGTTTCTCGCTTTTTTATCAGTGGACCAACCAAGCTTAGGAGATACTCGAATCTAAGAAAGCGAACATATAATTTGTAAAAATAAACTCTGTGCGAGAAAAATATTTATCTTTCGCGCTTCTTTATTAGTAGACCAAGCAAGATTAAGAGGTACCAGAATGTAAGAAAGCAGACATTAATTTGTGAAAATGATTATATTTTGTACTAGACAATTAAATCTTACTTTTTGACATTTATCCCTGTGTAAATAAAAAAAGAGTGGATCACGGAAACGGAGTTCTTCAAGTAAATTATGTCCATCATTAAACTGGGTTCTTCTCCGAAAAATTTCTCACACCAACGGTTCGTACTCGCTTCTTCTTCCGCAGTTGAAGATACAAATATACTCAGTCCTATTACTCGTGCCCGAGCGTGGTGACTTCTCTTCATATACATGTGTTGCGAACGTGGATTATACACATTGTATATGGAACCTACAGTTTAACGCTAATTTTGAACGGCAATTTTTAGAGAAGTTTTCGTGGCAAGACATACTCTCGGTGGTTTGCCATTGCCTTCCGAGAGGAGAACGAGCGAATAAAATTTTCTAGCTCTACCGGGAATCGAACCCGGGACCTTTGGCTCAATAAACCAGTGCGCTGTCTACTAGGCCACGCTCGTCCTCTACGTCCTCTCTGAAGATACAAATATCCGGCTAAAATTAAGTTAAAAAACTGATAATGCCTCATAGTAGAATTTATTTGGAATTACCAAGCAGGAACTACCAACGAGAATGACAACAAACCTTCTATTCACACCACGCTGTCAAATTATTTTTCAATGCACGCTGCTTCACGTTACGGCGATCGTAATTTCACAGATGTACTTTTGCCGTTAAGTTCACGTCACGTTACTTCGCGCCCCGTCGCGTCCCGTTACGTTAAGTTATCGTAATTCCGGCTTTATTAGTCTTTAATAGTCATTTTACTGTTCACTTCACTGTTTACTTCACTGTAGCACGTTATTACACTCGCGTCACAACACTATCGTCGCGACAGTATCTATTTATCTATCTCACTCCGCGATCGTCGTTGATTTGTCATAAACATATAGACACGTAGATCGTGTTTACAATTTACATTACTAATACTGAAAATATGTACCATACGTAACGTGAATTTTTACATGTTTACATTTGGAATAGATTTGTGTAGTGGCAGTACACGTAAGAACAAGGCCGTAGTATGTGTCATGTAAATGCGATAAATGATATCACGGCATTTTATCCGCGGTATTAGTAATACTATGTCATTCACTGGAGCCGGTACGTATTCTTACGAATTCATATCAATAAATTAGTAAAGAATATCGTTCAAAGAAAATTCCTAATATTTACTACAAATGCATAGATATGAATTTGTATCAGCGTATCAGCTCGAGCGAATATCATAATATTATAATACCGCGGAAACACCATGATATTATTTATATACGACACATACTACGGCCGTGTTCCGATATATACTGCCCGTACTAAAAATCTATTCGAAATCTAAAAGTAAAAAGATTCACATTACGTACTCTGTCAGGAATAATTAGTGGAATCGACGTCGATACGTCGATGAATGGACGCTTTCAAATACTGGTTGATATTTTTATCTTTTCGTTTTTATCATAATTATGTTATGTTCATAGTCTTTATCATAGTTATGTTCATTGAACAACTGCAAATTGTTCTATAACATTTCTATTCGTTTTTCGGTTTATTCTACATCAATACACAGTATATACATTGACTTTGCGTCAATTCGATATAGAGTAAAGACCATGATTTAGAAATAGATAACAACTTTACCAATAAAATATTAAAAATATTTTGTATACAGGGTGTCCTATTATAAATTTGACAGCGCTATATTTTGCGAACAGATGATTTAATTGAAAAACGTAAAATTTAATCTGTTTCGAGGGGAACATATTATGATGGACACACGTTTTTCCTAGGTGAAGGTGTTCCTGACATTTTAAGGTGACCTTTGTTTATTTTAATGGAATCATACAACTTTCTTTATATAATATAATTCCTCTACTTATTTGGCATATAAAAGTATAAAAGTAAAGCTATCAAAAAATCTATAGTTTACGGGATATTTTATATTATATTATGATACTTTTATATGTAGCATAGTGGGACGAATCAATTCATGTGAGAAAAACATAGTTACTTTCCAAAAAAGTATGTAATTGCACATTACAAATTGCATTATTTTTTTTGAAAAGCAACTATGCGTTGTCTTTAAATCAACTTACTCGTTCCACTATTTTACGCATAAAAGAAGGTACAGTTATCAAAAAATGAATAGTTTACAAGATATTTTATATTTCATGTCAAAATATATGTTAGAATAAAATATAACATCTCGCAAACTATTGATTTTTTGATAACTGCTAGCTTACCTCAATACTTTTATGTGCCAAATAACTACAGGAATTATGTTATATAAAAAAAATCGTATGATTCCATTGAAAAAAACAAAGGCTACTTTAAGATCTCAGGAAAAACGTGTGTCCATTATAAGATATTCCCCTCGAAACAGAGTAAGTTTTACTTGAAACGGAGCAAGTAGCGCGATGTATTTTTCAAGTATTTGCGAGAAAGTATTGAAACTTCTCGTGCGACTAATGTACCGAGTACGCAACCGAGATAGCCATGTAACAAGCGTGGCGCAGCGACTAAGGTGCCGGACTGAAACGTTGCAGGTCGCGCGTTCAAACCCTGCTTTTCCCAATTTTTTTTTTTATTTTTTATATGTACATTAAAATAAATGATTAGGCAAGAATGTATAATAAAAAAATTATTATTTTATTATTATTAAATTTAATATTTTATACATATTTTAACGTTTGCAACAATACGAATAATATCGGTTCGCAATAATTCCAAAATCTTTTTAAATTCTGCCTCATTTATATATATAGAAATCCTCTTCGGAATCTTTCTCGGGAAGTGTACATTTGGATGATAATTATCGAAGAAACATTTTAAACATAGTATATAAAATAAATATAAAATAATTTTAAAACATTTAAAAAATAAATATAATAATGATTTAGAAATTTTTACGCGATGAATTCGTCGCTCGCTGAGTAAAAATTATTTTCCGGCTTTGATGATACCACGCCGAGCAGCGAGCAGCGAGCGAATTCATCGCGAATTCATCGCAATGCTTGCCGTTCGCTGCGTGACAATTATTTTCCGGCGCGGTATCATTGAAGACAGAAACAATTGTCACGTCGCTCATCAAGCAAGCCGGCTAGCAGCTCGGCGAGCTGGGCGAACAACAAAAACGCAACGTGAGAGAGACAGAATATGGCTGTCCTTTTCTAAGCGCAATTCGTTTGTTTTCCGTCGCAAGGATAGACCGAATCCAGCGAAGTCAAACAAACATGCGATAGAAAAAGTGTCACGTGATCGAGACCCCCCGACCCCCGAGCAGCCCGGGACTGCTTTCATGATTGCGCGCGTTTTATTTAATACTCGCAACACTCGCGAACGTCATTTGTCCTTACTTAATAAACAACAAGGCTGAAATTCTAAGAGAAATTCTCGTTGAGATCGTAAAGTGAAACACGCTTTTTTTGGACCGATTTCACCGCCTCTGATTAACTTGATCCTCCGATTAAACTCACTCTTTGTCTCTTTCTAAGGGGGACAGTTAGAAATAGATGCAGAGTGAGTTTAATCGGAGGATCAAGTTAATCAGAGACTGTGAAATCGGCCCTTTGTCAAAACTCGGTAGAATTTTTAGTGTCACCTGTGCTTTGCTTTTCGCTCCTCGCTGCTTCGAGGATAAGATGTGATACAGTACGATAATGTTTCCACAATAAACAACTTACACAAATCGTACTCATCAATCGATGGCTGATTAGAAAGTAAGTAATTCTAAATGCCACTCACGTAGTGAACGATAAATATATTTTTAAAGAAATGCATATACTTTGGGTATAAGTTTGTGCTAATTTGATTGCGAGAATAAAAATAAACACTGGTAAAAAATTATAGTGTAATTGTTTTTTTCTGTCGTATATGTCCCTTATCGCGCATATGAAATCGACATTACTCTCGCAAGTCAAAACTGTGCCCGTAAAGATCAGTTCATGGAGATTTCTCTCCAATTTCCAAATTCAGTTATATCTGTCGCGATTCGTCGAGACTACCACGAAGATTGTTATACATATATCTGAACCTTCAACTTTTATTATATTTTAATATTAAACATGTATTTAAGTATATGCAAGGAAATACCTTACATATAAAGTTGTAATATTTTTATTTCTTAGTGCCTCCACAATATACTCAAAAATATCGAAAGGAATGGGAGAAATTGGAGGCGACAAAAGACTGGCTCAATCCGTGCACTTCCGACTCATCAAAGGCATACTGCAGATATTGTAAAGGGTTGCTCAACGTTAAACTAGGAGATCTTTTAAAACACGGGAAGACTTTAAAGCACGTTGCAGCATCAAAGCCATTTTCGAGCAAGAGACAACAGATGATACCGTTTCAACCCATCGACACATGTACCAAGGAACAGCGTAAAGAAGCTCAACTTTCTCTTTACGTCACCGCACATACATCAATCGCAAGTGTCAATCATTTAAGCGATCTCCATAAAGATACGCCTTTTAATATAAGCTTACACAGAACCAAATGTACAAACATTATCAATAATGTGATAGGACCTTAGACCTTATTTTTACGAGGCACTAGTCAAAGATATTGGTGATGGATATTATAGTTTATTAATAGATGAATCTACTGATATTACAGTGAATAAAATGCTTGGTATCGCCATTAGATATTACAGCGTCGAACAAAAAAAATCGTATTGACTTTTTTAAGCCTGATTCATATTGAAGATGGCACCGCGGAGTTCATTGTAAGTGCAATAAAAAAGTTATTGATTGACGCGAAATTGCAGTTAATTAAAATGCAAGGAATTGGCACTGACAATGCATCGACGATGGTAGGACTGAATTCAGGCGTTTACGCGCGATTGAAGAAAGATGTACCTCATTTAATATTAATTTGATGCGTGTGTCATTCATTCCAACTTGCCATCTCGAAGGCGACCGAAAATACGTTGCCTCGAAATATTGATTTTTTAATTAAAGAAGTTTATAATTGGTTTGCTAATTCGTCTATACGACAGTTAAATTACGCGCAGGTCTATCAGACGTTAAACGATGGTCAACAACTCTTGAAAATTTTGCGAGTCGCGGACACGCGATGGTTATCAATCGAGCCTGCAGTCAAATGAATTTTAGATCAATGGACAGAGTTGAAAACGCATTTCGAAATTTCACGAGTCAAAGACAACTGTTACACAGCTGAACTATTATATTCCATGTATTGCGATAAGAAAAACTTCACTTATCTTAATTTTTTGTATCCGATTTTAAATATGGTGCAGAAAACAAACAAGAACTTTGAATCAAAAGTGGCTGATCCAACAAAGCTACTTTTGGACATTAAAAGGCTTTATTCAACGGTTGCCAATAAAATTTTACT